AAAGTAAACACAAACAAACTGACACATATTCATCTAATAGGAGAATTAAGCAAGGAATTAACAAATCAGAAGTAAATAGCCATCGATGTTCATTATCTTAAGATAAAAATAAAAAATGCTTTAATCTAGACTGGAATAAGGAAACACTTGGCGCGTCACGATTATCACCATCGAGAGTATTAAAAAAAAAGTTTCATGTTTGACCTTGAACTGATTTTTGATTTTACATTATGTAGACACAAACAATACTAAGTTTACTGGCGCAGTGTCGCTCAATATACCTCATCGCATCAATTGATCATATTCATGCCCCTCTAAGTAAGTACGATCACGATTAACATTTCTATAGCGCAAATTTACATGTTGATATGATTAAAGCCTGCTTTCCACTAGGCGGAATTTTCCGCGCGGTGCGGAATTTCTCTTTGTCTTTTCTAATTGGCTCCACCCGAGAAATCACAAGACAAAGAAAAATTCCTCTCCGCGCGCTAAATTCCGCCTAGGGGAAAACCGGCTTAAATGCGCTTTAAATCAATTTTACCTAATTATACTTAGCCTACTATTTATCTCTACTTATCCTTACCGACCCTGTTAACTTTCCCTGTGGAAAGAATCTGGAGAAAATCCACGACTTTTCACATGAGTTTGTTGCGATAATACGAACCTGCGAACTCGGTGAAAGGCGCTTGCGCTGATCACTACGCCACCCGCACCAATGCAGCCCATTACGCCACCGGAGCCCCACCCAAGTATTACCGTTGATTATTATCAAGCTACGCATAAATACAAATTTAATGGGAAAACTTTTCCCGATTTTATTAATAAAAAATAATAAAATAATATTTTTAGTTCAGTTGGTTATCAGATTGCCCCCTGTGTTATTTGCACTGAGGATGATTCGCGCTTAAACCGATAAGGGTAGGTGTGCCTTTCCCAAATACAAGGTAATTATTTTTCTCCCCTTTTGCAGTATGGGATCAAAGCCAGATGGGTCGGTTTAACTGGCTGTGGTATGACGTCACAACATTTGAACCGTATACCGAAGAAACGTCTTATGAAAATTCATTGCTGGTTCAGCAGTCTGGATCGCTGGCTCTTAGTTCATTAATACACGTGTTTAGAAGTTTAACGGCAAATGCGAAGGGAGTCTTTCTTCTGATTGGAAATTATCAATTAGAACATTCCAAGGAGGGAAATTATGCTGGTATGTGAGGTTACAATTTTAAATGTGCATCTTGATCATGATATGAGGAAATGGCTGTGGCGATGGTGCAGCTCATTTTTCCCTAAGCAATCGAAAGCATCCTGCCTGCTTATATTTGCGTCATTGTTAGGATCAGGAAGCTACAGTGTCTAAGCAAAAAATACGAACAGTGTTTATTTCCGCTGAGCCGCCAGCGGTCCTCGGTGGTTTAGCGGTACAGCTGCAGACTAATACGTACGAGTGTAAATTTTATACATTTATTGAGACCTAACTAGGAGTAGCTGCAAAAAAATGCAACTATAGACCCTCTGGCAGTAATCGAATGCAGCCCTGCGATTCCGGTGCAGTGCTGTAACCAACTGAGCTACAGGGTTGCAGGTTCGATTCCTATCAAAGTGCATATAGTTGCATTTTTCGTCGCTGCTCCTGGTTAGGTCTTAATAAATGCAAAAAATTTACACTCGAGATTTTGATCTACAGAACCCTTCCAAGATTTAGTTCTGTTAAGTGAGATGTCCAAATCCCCTGACTAATACGCACGTATATATGCTCACGTTCGATTCCAACGTTTTATTCATTTTTTCTAATTTTTGCTAAAGTTTATAAAATAAGATTTTATTTTTAACGGAGTAAATACTCAAACTTTTTAAAGATGTTAGAGTATGGGTTAGGGATAATGGTTAATATTAGGGTCAGGCTGTGCGGGCAATGGATACTTTTGATTGCTTACGGGAAAAAATTGCGGTGGCGCATCGGGAAAAATATGATGACGAGTTAGAAATTTTTCCAGGTATGTCTTTTCACGATTGTTACACGAAGTGCAGAGAGGCTTTCCTGGTGAATAGTGATGCAACATTAAGAGCTCAATTGACAGAATTCCGAGATCACAAATTAATACGATCGAAAAAGGTACGTCATTTTGAATGGATTCATTTCTTATCCTTTTCATCACAAAACTCTGAACGTAGGCACAAGGAATACATACTGACACGGATGATCCGTCAGACCCAGATGATAGATAGATACTATAGATAACTATATACTATAGATATGTATACAGTACTATAGATAGATACTATATATAATTACATACTATAGATAGATGCATCAATAGATATATCGTTTATTAAAACCCCTTATAATTTATACAGAACAGGGTGAATTAGTAAGGTTTATCCTGACAGTTAAAATGGTAACCCATAAGCCATACCAACAAGTTAAGAATCTTGATCACTGCAGTTTTTTATCATTGCGTCGCTTAGCAACGGAGTTGACCTTCAGGTAGAATTCAATTTAAGTTTAAGAGAAAAGTTTATCACATACTGTATCTTAGGACGATCGTCGACGAGTGTAACCAGATCTGATATATAATTCCTCCTGAATTGATGAAATTATCAGGCCTGGTTTCAATGATAATGATGATGCATGTTGAATTGTTGAAGACTGGTCCGTCTCTTGTATTATTATATCTTGTATTATAGATCGGGCCATTTGCGATCATTATTATGCATCATTATATCGGAAACTATTTTCTTCGAAATTCTAGGGAACTGATGGTGTTGAATATTTATTGATTCCATTGGACGACTCTATCTTGAAACAATTTATCGAGGATCAAGAAAGTAACACATAGACTTTGTAAATATATATTTCTATTTATTTTTGTACAAAGTAAACCTATCCTCAGACAAATACACAATCACGTGATTTATGTCTTCTTTTGCATTGGTCGTGAGTAAAGCTGATCAATTTCTACCGAGTAAATCCATTTACCAAGTCAAATCCGAGTCAATTTCGAGCCCGAGTGAAACGTCCGAGTCACGTAAAAAGAGTCGAAATTGAAGAAATTCACAATCGAATAGGGTTAGGAGCGAGTAGGATTAGGGTACTAAGTCATTGAGCTACAAAAACCGCTAAACTGTGACTCGGACATTTGACTCGGACTCGGATTTGACTCGGATTTGACTCGGTTAACCGACAAACTCAATTTCTACCGAGTTAAAATACTGAGTGGAAGGGACGCGCACGGTTTTTACCAATTTTTTCATTGAAAACGGATTCCTTGTAAATAATGGTGCACAACATTATCTTCGACTGGTAGCGTATTGTGCAGTGTAAATATTTTCATGTTTCATCTGAGGTGTACGAAATATATCGTAAATAATTTAAGACTCTTGGGCTCCGTTCACACATATAGTTATTAGAGAGCTTTAGATTTTACTACGAGATTAGTTTATTTGGATACGCCATTTTTTACCCCATCATGTACTGACGCGCCTTATAAAACTCGTAGCCGTGACCAAATTGACAACGGGATTTTTGAAAAGTAGTACAACAACTCCCTCTGCTACGAGATGATTGCGTGGGTACGTAATGGCCAGGGCTTGAATTAACAGCCGATCAATGATCGGCAAGAAATTGCTTATAATCGGTAATGGAAAAGCAGGGTTTCCAACCTGAAAAAGCAGGGAAAGCTGCCGATCACCATGATCGGGAACTTTGGGAACGTTATTTCAAGCCCTGGTAATGGCGGAAGAAGATGGCGAGCATGTGCAACAATGATTATCGTACCGTCGTTGTAAATTCTAAGCTCTCTTTTTCACACATACACGAGACGTACCGAGTGAATTTGTACCCGGACTCAAATGATTTTTGTCTTGCACATTCACGTGGGTCGCATGAAACCGGGGGAATTCGAGGATAGTTCATACATACATACTAATTGTTTGAGCTAGTGGATCCAACACACACAGTCAACACTCTGGCTACATTACTGTTTGAGATAGACACCGTGGATAGACCTATAAAGCTTACGAATTGCGCGTGTGAGCTAATAGAACTATACAGGGTGCATAAAAAAAGTTAATCCAACTTTGGCATGTTATCATCAATTATATATTACGTTTAACCATTTACGTATTTCACACCAATAAAGATCAAATGATACCTTTCTTGTATCATTGCGATAAAAAATAGCCAATCCCCAATTAGGGAGCGGTCATTATTTATGGCGGGGGGTGGCACCGAAGAGGAAAGGGTTGGGTAAACAAAATTTGAGGGAGTAAAAGGTTGGGTAAATGAAAAAGAAAACTCAGGGGTTGGGTGATAAAAATTTATTGCCAATGCATGATTCACTGAAATGTTGGAGACTGAGAAGCAACAGTCATCAATATGGCAAGATGTCAACAGTCGTATGTCGATCAATACAATATGTGAATCAATCAGAGTCACTATATCTTGATAATTTCCCGATTTTTTGGGAGGCAAATGGTGTCTCCAAAGAAAGTACATGTGCAGACAACATGAAACTTTAGACTGCAGAAAATTTCACAATCCGTTATCAAACTCATGTCACAGAAGTGGTAAAGGACATGTGTGACAACTGAACGGTATCCGTTTGTAACGTTTTTGGCCAGGGGTGGGTATTTTTTAATTGATATTTGAGGTTGGGTAATCAATTTTTTTACTTTTTAATGGTTGGGTCAGCAAAATTTTTGCCAAGAAAAACATTTCTCTTCGGTGCCACCCCCCGCCATAAATAATGACCGGTCCCTTAGTGACTAAATAACTTCCCGACGAAGGGCCTTCGCTCGAAACGTCGAAATTCTCCTTGTATTTTTTAGGAAGTTGCATCGCTATCAACCGAAGTTTTGTGTACCAATTGCCGAACTTTTAAGTGCAAACTCCCCCTCCCCAGCTCGTACGCTACGAGACTCGGTTTCCAGCCGGTAAGGTTTCGGAGTGATGGACCGAGGCCACACGGTACTGGCTTTATTTGATCTACTATATGTTGCGTCTAACATGACGTAAACAGCTTATGAATCGGGTGGTGTTGTCACTATGGCGGCGAAAACAGCAAAGTTGGATTATTGAAATAATGATATATTGTTCATGGAGACTTCTCAATTATTTGTATTCTGGATATCAGGAAATGTATATATATCTTAACATAACATAACAGACACATACAACATGAGATTTTCTTTAAAATAATGCCATCAGGAAAGGTATTTTGTTTATTCTTTTCAAAATTCTTGTGCTATTTAGTATAAACAGTACATATTTATATTAAAGTGTTACATAGCCCGAAACTTGACATTATACAGTGAGAATATAGTGTGTTGCTGTGGACCATTTCTGTAAACGTGTAATAGACAAATAATGCGAATTAAAAAAGAGACATGTGACGGTAGGTGGTCCAGTGACAGTCAACTTTCCATATGACATGCAGTATGTATTATGTGTCTGTTGTGCTGTGGGGTGATTGGATGACTTTGCACTTTGACTGTAATTTTTGCATTCAAAAATTAAATGTTGTGGGGGAAAACATTGGGGCTTTGTGTTAATTGCCATTGCCCTACAGCTTGGGGAAATGAAATGAAGGGACTTTAACAAGTCATTGTTTTGTATTCTGAGCATTCATTTTTATATGACTAGCCAAACAGTTTCACATGCCTGCCTGGAAAGTTTGGAAATTGCATGCCAGAGATTTTAAAAATTTAATAGTAAATATATAGAAAGCATCAAAATTGCGTGCCAGAGATATCCGTCGTGCGATACAAACTTTCCACACTGGCTCACATGTAAGTTTCAGTGGTGTTACTTGACTATTTTTACCACTTGCCATCAGGTCCAGTTTTGCTCTCACATATTAACAAAATCTGAAGCAAATGATTACAGGATTGATTAATCAATTAACAATCTAATCTTATATAAGACTTAATCATGAAGTGTTGATTTCATCTGATTTACTAATTCTTTGTTTGCAATGACATAATTGTGGGATTTCAGACAGTTTAAGACTCAAAAGATGAGTTACCGTTCAGTTTTTCTTGCTACAACCATTCTGATAGAAGAGAAATTGTCCACAAGTTGTTTGATTGCCCGTCATTTGGATGAAAAATCATGTGATTGCAAACAAAGAATAAAGAATCAAAAACAGAATACATAACATAAACAAGCAAACAGTTTTGTGTTCAATAAGTAGCAATAAATTTCTAGAAAAACATTGGTTACCATTAGGTTTTTCAGTCACCCCACTGACACTTTCTCATTGGGACAAGGCAATATTTTCCAAAGTTAACCCCATTTTTAGCTGTGACCAATGTAATATTTAAATTGGTTAACTAATTGTAAGCTTACTCCAGAACCTTTAAAACCATTATTTTTGGGCAGGTTTAGTTTATTATATAGAGAATAATGCATGGGTGTGCGGAAATACCAGATTTATTTCGAGTGTTGAACATGATATCTCACGAGTGAGCGCAGCGAACGAGTGAGATATCATGTTCAACACGAGAAATAAATCTGGTATTTCCAAGCACCCATGTATTTTTCTGTTTATTACATAAAGGACAGTCTTTGAAAAGCGATAATTTTTACAGAAAAGCGATAATTGAAAAGCGATAATTTTCACATGTGAGATTATCATGAATAATCTCACATGTGAGATTATCACTTTTATCAGTGCTTGAAATCTCTATAAAGCACTATACTTTATATAATAAAACATTATAATAAATTATGAATAATTTATTTCTTCAGAATAAAAGTAAAGAAAACACATGGACTGAAAAAGATTTGACAGATGCAATACAGGTTTGTGCTATGTATTGGGCTCACTGTGTTCTTTTTGTCATGTGACCCTTGCATAGTTGTTAAAAATGTTGCTCGCTTGATATCAAATATAGCTTGATTTGTGCTTGCATCAGTTGCATGGTTTTTCATGCTTTGTTGGTTCAAATAAATACTGAAATAATACAATTGGAGACTTGAAAACAAAATTTATATATTAAATGTTTATTGTAGATTAGCCTGCTAATTAAGGACTCAATTTTATATCATTCTACAACACCCATGTTGACAAAAACATTGCATGCTTAAGCTCTCTATGTCTTAAAGTAGTTGACTATCATTGATAATAATAATTACAACCTAAAAACATGGTGAGCTGCTTTTGACCACCATGAAAATGGCTTGCGCACAGAAGGTTTCACACATGATTTGAATTAACATCATATCTGGAAACTTGGTAACAGGGAAAAGGTTGATCATGATGAGGTTTTTTATTCCCAAATATTTCACACACAAAAAATTCATATTTGGAGTTAGTTGCACTTTAAGGATATTTAACATGAGGACTAATTTTGGCAATGGATCAGGTTTTGGATTAAGTTTGGGTTTATAGGGATAGATTTAGGGTTAGCTTAATTTACCATTTAGAGTTGTTTAGAGTTAGAGCCCAAGTTGGGTTGTCTAATTCCCAGACGTGGTTAGCGTGTTGGCAAGGTAGCACTTGATTCAGGTGACGCTTTACTTAGCTTTGCACTTCCACTGGTAGTTGCAACATTAGTTTCAGGGACATTGCTGGGTGGGCCGGTTTTCCGCTCTCTTTTTTTCATACTTGACCCATTTTGACCAATATCATTTCTGGGTTCCCTTGATAATAATTGATTTGTCATCATCAACATCGTCTTCAATGTGTAGGACTGAGAACTTGTTTTGACTGGGGGATGTAGTTTGGTTGGTGATCGATTTATTCATTTGGCTCGGTACACGACACCATGAATGTTGTTGTTCAGTTTCTTTACTGGCCGACATTTGGTATACTTGATCCCTAAAAGAATCGTTAGCTGATGCATTTTATTTCGTTTCGTAATCAGCACGAAGTATTTTCAGTGCCGTTATGAGACTAAGCTTTTCATTTTCTGTGTCCTTTAGTTTAGTAATAATGTAGATCTGACATTGAATATGATATGCCGTTATTCCGTTCGCGAAGCACATCGTTTTCCGCTTTAAGCTCTTGATTTTCTTTCTTCAGCGACTCGATGAGATCGTACGTGCACTGACAAGCCTCTCTATGCTTTAAACTATCGATTTCATTACGCTGCAGTTCCGATTCAACTCGAATTTTATTTAGCTGTGACAATATATATTCAACAACATTTTGAAAGTCCACATTCTCTTGGGAATAGGGTTGTTTATTGGTTTGCACTTTGCACCGGTGCCAGGGATTCGGTTTGAAGCTCGATTTCGTTGGTTTCTTCGTTATTAATCGATTCAGCTAGATTCACCATCTCTCAGCAAATCTTCAACCGTACTTGCTTTGCTTTCACCACCATAATATTCGCACTTAGAAGATTGCTGCTCGAAATACCAAGAGTTGAAAGTAATTTGCGTTCCTCTGCAGTTATTGAACGACGCCAAAGCGATGGAAATCGTTTGTAAATAGCACCCTTTAATAAATTAATTGAGTGACCAACTTGGCTGCTGATCATAAGGTGCTCTCCTGCTTCATTCAGTTGAAAAACGACAGGATTTTCAGATTTAAGTATTTTAGCCATTGTTTTAATTTTAGCCACAGAATACCATTTTTTTTTATTTCTCTTATAAAATTTGGAGGAAACATGCTATATACTTAATTTATTCTTAAAATTCTTAAAAATAATCTGGATTAACAAGAAATAAAATTAGGGCTAATTAGAGCAGTTTGCAGTTGTTTTTGCAAACGAGCACCGTGCGAATTTTTCCATTTGTCTTCTTTTATTGCCAATTGCCAAATCAACCCAGCCCGATTTCCAGAAATAATAAACAGAAAAATCGTGAGTATATGAAAGAATATATGAAAAAGAAAAGGTCTGCTCAAACCTCTGAGGGTAAACAGAAAAAATCGTGAATATTGGGAAAAGAAAAGGTCTGCATGCTCAACCCCCTGACGAAAAACAGAAAAATCGTGAATATTGGGGAAAGAAAAGGTCTGCTCAAACCCCTGACGAAAAACAGAAAAATCGTGAGTATATAAAAAACTATATGAGAAAGAAAAGGTCTGCTCAAACCTGTTTGTGAGGATAAACAGAAAACTCGTGAGTATATAAAAAACTATATGAGAAAGAAAATGTCTGCTCAAACCCCTGAGGATAAACGGAAAAATCGTGAGTATATAAAAAACTATATGAGAAAGAAAAGGTCTGCTCAAACCCCTAAGGATAAACAGAAAAATCGTGAGTATATAAAAAACTCTATGACAAAGAAAAGGTTTGCTCAAACCCCTGAGGATAAACAGAAAAATCGTGAGTATATAAAAACTATATGAGAAAGAAACCTCTTAGGATAAATAGAAAAATCTTGAGTATAAGAACGTATATAGGAAAGGTCTGCAACTAAAGCTGATCAGAATAAGCACAAAGAACACTCCCTCAAAAAGCTGATTTCAAAGTTTCATGATATTGTCTCAAATGGACCAATTTACGTATGTACCTGTTGCGATCAACTATGGTATAAGCATAGCGTGTTTAATGCATGCGGCACAACTCAGGCAAAGTAACCCAACTATTCAAAAGCACTTACTGGGTAAAAGAAGTGTTGATAATATTGAATGACTATGCAGAACATGTCGAGATTACTTGGCAAAAAAATAAATTTCCACGATGCGCTGCCGTAAATGGGATGCAATTTCCTTCCAAACCAGAATTTTTTGACCTGAATGAACTAGAATGTAGATTTCTTGCTCCTGGATTAGTATTCCAAAAACTGATGCAAGCCCCTAGAGGAAGACAGCTAAAAATTAGCGGATGGAACTGGAGCCATTAAAGTGAACCTTAAGAGAAGATTGTAATACAATGATACTTGGTTTGAGGATAACTCTTATATTATCTATGATGAAAGAAATACTGAAAATCTTTCGCGAGAGGAATTAGTAAAAATGGACTGTGACGATGTAGATATTAGTAAGATACAGCAAACATCTGATAAGGAAAATTCCTTGGCGTGAAGACGAGGCCGAAATACCTGCTGGAGTCACTGACACTATGTTAACATCTCCAGATTTTATCTCTGATAATGAATGTCAGCATATTCTAAATGTCGCGCACCTGGTGAGGGCAGTAGGCCTATAAGTATATTTAGGGATAAATATTCAGAGGAATTAGCATATCCTGGTATATTTCTTGGACAGAAACGACCAGACAATACAAATAGACTAACTGCACTGATGTGCATTATAGTGACATTTGCAAATCTGAATTAAGAATGTCTGACCGAAGGGCTGGTATGTGTAATGTGTATGGAAAATATTTTCTTTAAGATTAAAAAAATTAATGAAGATTTAGCTTGGGCAATCACAAGTTGCATTAAGAAAATGTCAACGAAATAGTGGCACAGTCACTGCCGGTCAACTAAAACAACCAGGTGCACTAGATAACATGATTCATCACGATCAAGGATTTAGATTTTTGAGAGCATTAAGGGCTTCACCTCCATATTTTGAAAAGGCTAAAAGGATATATTTGCAATGATAAGGCAGTTAGGACCTGCTTCATTATTCTGTAGTTTCTCTTCTGCAGAAACACAATGGATTCATCTACTCAGAATACTTGATAAGTTTGTTGATAACAAAGAATACACTGACAATGAACTTGAGAAGCTCAGTTGGGAACACTAAAGCAGGTTCATTCAGAGTGATCCAGTCACATGTGCTAGGCATTTTGATTATCAAGTACACAAGTTTTTGCAAAAGAGGTTTCACCTCTAGGGAAAATTGTAGATTGGTTTTACCGAGTTGAATATCAACAAAGAGTATCACCTCATATTCATATGTTAATGTGACTAGAAAATGCTCCCACATTTGGTGAAGATTTAGATTGTGTTGTTGTTTCATTTATTGATAAAATGATCACGTGTGAAAAGCCAACTGGGGATAAAGAGTTACTTACACTTGTGAACAGACAGGTTCACAGGCCTTAAAATATCTTTTCCAGGGCCGTCTGACAAAATGTCCGGTGACGTTGAGTTCGGGTCGGACATATGTCCGATGATCTTCAGTTCAGTTTTGACTCGGAAATAAGTCTGAATGACACAAATGAATAAACGGTAAATGTTGTAAAGATATTAAATAATTTGTTTCTTTCATACTTATTTCCAAGCCAAAATTAACTTGCTTGCCAGAACAGCAGTATTAAAAAAGACTTCATCAACTTAAGCCCGTTTTCCACTTCACCATTTCGCTCGCCGCCCGGCGCTCGACTACGTAAAAACAACATTTCCAGTTCACCTTTTATACAATAGTACTCTGATTTTCCATTTAACATACAAGCCTCTAGAACTGGGCTAGGGTACATATTGATTTACGTCAGACAAAGCTACAGTTCGGTCGGACACCAATACACTCGGGTCGGACAAACAATAAACCTCAGTTTCATTTTGGTCGGACAGAATGTCCGGTAGTTTCCTCTCTACGTCGGTCAATTTCACAAATGGGTCGGACAATGTCCGTGACCGACCGATATTTTAAGGCCTGGGTTCATCGTAATTCTTACACTTGTCGAAAGAAATCCAAAAGTGTATGTCGTTTTAATTACCCACAACCACCAATTTAATTACCCCAATCACCAACTAATATTTTATATCCATTACATATTGATATCGATGATATTAATGAACTTGTACAACATAAAGATGCTTGGACGTTTATTAAGAAACATCTGAATGATATGAAAGAGGGGAAAGACATTGACATTACATTCAAACTGACAGAACAAAGATATGATTCGATCCAGCGTTAAGCCTTGAGGCTCCAACTATATTCTTAAAAAGAACCAAATGAATTAAGGATTAATAATTGTATTATGCTGCATGTCTCAGTGCATGGCGCGCAAATATGGATATTCAGTTTGTACTCGATGTATATGCATGTGCAATGTACATTGTATCATATATATCCAAAGCCCAAAAAGGTATGAGTGAGCTGTTGAGAACTGTTTGTGAAGAAGCTGGAAGGGGAAACTCCAGTATTAAACAACAAGTGAGAGATATAGGTTTTTAAATAATGTAGAAATAAGTGCACAATAAGCAGTCTACGTAGTACTGCAAGTCTGCAACTTCCAATGAGAAAATCGTCTCGTCAAGTTGTATTTATAATTATAAATACTTCACCTCCTGAGGACAGAGTAACAGAGTTCAGTTGCTTAAACCAATGCAAGAAATCAATGATATAGAAGATGATGCCGATGAGGTCTATGCACTTGGTTTAATAATGCGTTACACAAAACGACCAGCCAAACTTGAAAATGTATCACTTGTTGATTGGGCTGCCTGGTACGACTGTTGTGGTAAACCACACATCAAACCTTCTTGTGAATTAGATATTGATAACTAGCCACTTGAGACAAACAGTATGGAAGATAATGACGATGTGAAGGGAGATTGTGAACAAAAGAATAAGAAATGATCTAAAGCTAGAATAATTCGAAGGTTTTGCTTTTATAAGAACATTGATTCTGAAAAGCATTTCCGAGAACTTATAATTTTGTTCCATGGAGGAACGAAAAATCGCTATTTACAAAGAGCGCTATTTACAAGTTAAAAATGCAATAGATCAACAAATGAAACAGTATGCTATTTGTAGTGATGACCTGAATGACATCCAACAACATACCTCATATACATTATGTTGGTTTGAGCAGAGTAACAAAAATTGAAGGCTTATACATCAACGACCTTTGTGAAGAAAAGATAGCTGTCAATCCTCATGTTGCAGCTGAAATGGAATTGTTGAGGAATGAACGTGCACTGAAACCGGCAGTGTTATATTAAGGATGAAGTCTCTTTTAAATAATGCTACCTGAACACTTGATCATTGCACAAACATATTCATGATGTTCGACATGATCTAAATATAAAAAGAAACTCGCGTCAATATATTTTCTGAAATACGGTGTGCGAGCTCAGATAATGCTAGTATGTATAATATTGATGGTTACACTTTGTTGAGAAATGATGGTAACTCTTCGACGTCAAGACCTTTTGGTGGCATGGCAGTTTTTGGCAGAGTTGAATTCTTATCTGGATATCCACGTTGTCATAATATTAATGGCATTGAGATAACTATTATGAAAGTAATGATTCTTCCACATGTTACCATTTATATAGGTATGTCCAGGTGATCTCGGAACTCGGAAAAGGCACTAGTTGTAAAATAGAAATCCATTTCTGGTTTAAAATTACTCAATATCTCATTAACGGTATTAGATTTCAATCTCAAATTTGTCCCAGATATCGATATTCATTTCCCTGTGCAAGACACAGACACAAAGTTTGAAACAGTTTCACAAAAGAATCGGGGCGTGACAAGTGATTAAAGGTACAAAACTTACGAAACTGGATTTCTATTCTGTTGCTAGTCCCAGTCCTTTTGCTCACCTTCAGATCACCTGGATCGATCACCCAGAATTCCAGTTCAGCAACTGTTACTGTTAGCAGCAGTAAACGACGTTTTAATGTTGTGTACTTCACAATTTAACATTTTCATAGGTGATTTTAATGTAAATTGGTTGAATGAAGTCAATAGAAGGTCTTTATATAATCTTTTTGTCAATGATAACAACTACAGACAATTAATATATAGTGCCACTACAGACAATAAGACGTTAATAGATCACATTTATACAAATTTAAATCACAAGTGAATCCCCACATCTTAGAAACATATTTTTCAGACCATAAAGCGGTACATGTGCTTTAATTAATTGTTTTCTTTTAATTGTAAGGTCTTCTTAAAAGTAATGAACTGCATGAATAGCAGATATTTAGCTCCAGAAAAAGAAACACTATTTCTGCATTTGTATCACACTATTATTGCATTTGGGATATAAATGCTACTCATCCTCTTAATTTGGAAGTCACCAGTTAAATGTAAATATTCTTTATATGCATGAAGTAACTTTAGTAGGCATATAATTTCAAATAACACAATTTCGCACAATTGCTGTAAAAATGTAATTCCGTCGATGCAACATCCATGCATTATGCGCAGATACATGTACGCCTCGCGTATCTATTTTTTGTCTCGTGATTTCTCAGGTGGAACTAATTAGGAAAGACAAAGAAAAATTCCGCTCCGCGCGCAAAATTCCGCCTGGTGGAAAACCGGCTTAAAGACGCATAAAAAAGTTAAAAATGTTAATTATGACAAAGTATTAAAAAGACCAAAAGTATTATTCAAAAATTAAGTGTACTATACAGAATAATTACGAGAATTCTTTAATACTCACAGGGATAAAAGATCTCAAACATCTATCAGTTTTGGCGATGGAGGTTTGATAGTCCCGTCTACTTCTTAGATCATAGGCAGCACCGTAGCAGTATCTTTCGGGTAGCAGGCCAGAAAGTTTGTGAGTCGAATCGTTCGATATTTGATGACAAGGTTTTTTGCATGCTTTACTACGTCGCTCGTTAAGTGATGTTAAATTTGATTGATGGTACTCTTCTTTGAACACGTTCTATTGCTTCGTTGAGGAATATATGTAGGTGAAGCAAAGAAGAAACACTTCATTGGCATACTCGAGAATAGGCCTAACGCATAAACAGAAAACTTTACGATTTTCTTCGAAGATACCTTTGCACGTTTGATTGAACAATAAAGTAAATTCGCTTATTGGCCTTTTTCTATCTTCTCCGCAGGCCATTTTCCGGGACAATTTGCGGGCGGTGCTAACTGAATTTGACTGGGTTCATTCTTTGGGACGACTTCAGAGACCGTCGTGTCATCTATATATTTCCAATAGCTAAAGTCTGACAGTTCTAGGTCGTTTATCATAAGGATAAAGAGCCACGGCCCCAGTTTGGTCCCTTGTCGAACACCGCAGGGAACATCACCCCATCCTGAGAAACAATCCCTCGTATGCTCGTATATTCGGTGACTATATCCTCCTTACTTCCGCCTTTCCCCCGCTAATTAATTATACTTTACATCCGCTGGACAATAGCGAATTGAGCCGCATAAATAACAGAAAATGTATTAAATACCCCTTATATATTGCACTTGCAATTTATTATATTGCAGTTGCGATTTATTATATTGCAAGTATAGGATCTATTATATTGCAAGTAGGATTTATTATATTGCAAGTGGGATTTACTGTATCGCAATTGTGATTTATTATATCGCAAGTGTTATTTAATAAACGACGATTTTTGTTTCTAATTGTAAATCATGAGATGCTATAAATAACATAAAAATATACATAATAATTGCTTTTTTTAAATTTTTTTTTACAAATGGCACCCCATAGCCATCTACCTCGCAGGCATATGTGAAGCAGGCTTAATAATTATTCCCTTCAGCAGTTCAGTTGGCACCTCCTTTTATACGTTTCTATAATACCGTACGATTTGCATTGAGATTTTTAAAACCGTTTGATGAAACTATCAAGAGTTTAGAGAGTAATCTATATCACGAAAACTAGATCTTGGACAATATTGCTTGATGTTTTATACGCCAATTCAATAACTACCCAACTCAATATGGGTCATATGCAAATTATAGTATACAAGCTGTGGAAAGCTGTGGCCATATTGTCGCTAATTTCTGGTGATTTTCACCGTTATTGTTTTCGTTGTCTAAAACCGAAACTCGAAAGGCGATAAAACAAATTGAGTTTTGTGCATCCAAGCCAAATGAGTACGTTAATATGCAGAAAAGCGATATGTTTAGCGTCGTATTTCTGTGCGTTATAAATGTAATCTTTATGGTTGCAGGAATATTTCTTAATTCTGTCGTTATAATCAGTCTATGGAGGTCATCACAACTTCGAAAGAAACTATGCTACTTTATGATTCTTGTCTTGTTTTGATGTGGCTGTAGTCGCCATCACTCATCCATTCTTGATCGTATCTACAATTTTTTTCTCTCTTGGAGAAATTGATGAAATACGCGAGCTCACAAGGGTATCCATATCTTTCATTTTACATGGTTCCTCGTTGTTTGCGCTTTTCACGGTGAACGTCGAAAGATTCCTTGCGTTAACATGTCCATTTTTTCATCAAACATCAGTCACCAAAACCAAGCTCGTATGTTTTCTGGCATTTTTGACAGTAACGCTGGTCGGTCTATGGCCATTGCAGTATTCAGTTGAAGGAAAAACAATTAGCAATATTCTTGCCGCTGTAACTTTTTTGTCCCTTCTGTTCCTGTTCATTTATTTAAATTACAAAATGTTTAAAATCGCGAAGTCAAAACGCGAGGGCGAAAGAGTTGTTCCAACTACAGCAACGATGGATGAAAATAGGAAAACACGAATTTTAAGTCTCAAAGCTCATTATTTCTTAAATCTCAATATTTCTATATGTTCTTTGGCAGTTGGCTGTTTTTTTGTTTGTTCCTGCCCACAAATTATATATTCAGCTTTACGTTTAGCATCAGAAACGCCGTTCTACGATAGACAAGTTTTGTTATTCAATATGTGGGCAAACACATTTGTCTCCATGAACTCGACATTCAACTGTGTGATATTTTTCTGGAGAAACTCGATTCTGCGTCGAGAAGGAATGAAAATAGCAAGCGCTTTCCGACTACACGTTGCTAACTAATTATGTTATTATTATTATACAATAATATCTCTCGTATTGTAGAAAATTGTCTTATTAATAAAATAAAAAAATATAGACTTTGTATATATAACCATAAAGGTTGAAGTACGCCTATCATTTACAAGGTTGGTTGATTAGAAAAATATATGTATATTTACAAAAAACCTAATTACAATAATATAGGATTAAGAGTTTAGAACTTCTAGTATAATATTACCATTATTTACAGATAAAAATGTATGTAATTTATAAGTTACTCAATGTTTATTATATATATATACAGACGAGGGAATGAACGAATTTTTAAAGCGGTTTGTCCTACAGTTAATTGGAACGAGTTTATTCGATGCGCGTAGATTGTAGCTTGGATGTTCTGCCGGTTCAACAAGTTCAAAAAGAGTACTAGTTTGCAAAAGAACCTTTCTTCTAAAAAATTTTGAACATAACAGTTCGCGCCTAGAATACAATGTTGTGATGTTAAAATCTGACAAAGATTGACTGTATATGATGACGATGGGTTGATTATTTTCAACGCTTTTGACTGGATCCTTTCTATTTCTTTGGATAGGTATTGGGGTATGTTATAATGCCAAACGTGGGCGCAATACTCCACAAATGGGTCTTACACACATAGTTTAGCGGATTTCATCACCTCAATGGGCTGTTCGTCAACGATCATTGGAGGGAAATTTGGATTGTTTTTCCAAAAACAAACGACGATTTCTTTGCATTTACGGGGGTTTAAGGACATGTTATTTCTTGCACACCACCGCATAATTTCTTCTAAAATAGTTTGAAAGTTCGAGTCTTGGTTTCTAGAAAGGGTTTCTGAAACAGTCGAATCGTCAACATATTTCCATCTATCGTCGCAATCATTCAAAAAATCGTTTATCATAATGATAAATAGTATCGGACCTAAGACAGTGCCTTGTGGAACCCCACCGTTCACTGGTTCGAAACTAGATACCTTTATTCAAGGTCTTGCTGTATGACGTATCATCAAAAATAATCCGCCATTTTGGGTGGCAAAAACGTTTTATTCAACCAACTACTACACAGCTGTGGATCATTATAACTCTTCGAAATGCTCAAACAAAAGCAACAGGCGCTGTCAGTGCCACAATCTTGCCACCCAAAATGGCGGAAGTCAACAAATACGTGCTGTGACGTCACTTGCAAGAGCCCAATAGACCACGCTTTACGTTTAAAATCTTCATTAGATTCGCTGCACTCGCGAAATTTACACCTATGTGTGTGTATGTAAAACTTTATTAAAACGTTAACCTCGTCAACGGTTCGCTGATTCCACGAGGGCGTCAAGTATTTTAAAAATTGTATACAAGCATTGACAACAGTATAATAGATTCTAGATATTGTGTGTGACCCATGCATTACAAATATGTTACAGTTGATTTGCCTGATCAGCATTTTGTTTCAAAAATTTTTTTTCGCTAATTTCGCATGAAGAGTCCTCCGCTAAACCTTTTTTAGATATTTTCTTTTACATAGGCATGCGGAGGGGGAGGGATCAGAAAGAAATAGGAATACGGAGGGGGAGGGATCAGAAAGAAATAGGAATACGGAGGGGGAGGGATCAGAAAGAAATAGGAGTACGGAGGGGGGAGGGATCAGAAAGAAATGGGAATACGGAGGGGGAGGGATCAGAAAGAAATAGGAATACGGAGGGGGAGGGATCAGAAAGAAATTTTCCCGACTTTTTTGCTTTTGGGGAGACTTGTCAAAACATTTTTCGTGTTAAAGTTCCAAAATTCTTGTCGACAGAGGGGGAGGGGGGGAGGGGGAGGGTTAGGAAATTTTAGAAGGCCTTAATTAAAACTTTTCGAGACCTAACATATTTATGCATTTTCGACGATTATTTTACATATTTCGTGCATTTTCGGCTATTATCTTGCATATTTCTTGCTGTTAAATTTATCCCCCCCCCCCCGTCTTTTTGCGCAACTTGCGTACTTTATAGTTTGCCCAATTCTAATTCTTGCCCAATTCTTCTTGCCCAACTTACCTTCATAGTTTGCCCCGTTCTTCCATTTTTGTGTGCAAGCCATTTTAAATACTAATTAAAAGAGGATACTAGACGGGGTTGATTTCTTTGAAAAACCTTATATCTAGCATGTGTTTGTCTTGCACGAAAATATAATGTAAATGTTTTCTAGACATCCTTTTTATTTTCCCTGTCCCTGAACAAGTAAACAGCAAGTTAGTACCAAAGTTAGTTGCTGCAGTTGAGAGCACCCACTATAGGCCCCTGTTTCTGTAAAGCTCGACTATCATAATGATACTCATTAAATCCCATAGAATATAGCGACATAGACACGTATACCAAGTTGATCCATTAAAGATGGCGACAGCTTGAAAACTATACATTCATTTAATTGCCCTTCTTGATTTTAAGCAAGAACTGCTGACACAAAAATTGACAGCTAAATTGTACACGTGACGTCCGTGTTGTTGAAAACGTGGTTAAGGTCTTGGCTTGAGAAAGGAAGGAGATAGTCTACTCTACTCAAAGCGTCCCTAATCACCAGGGGCCGGTTGTATAAAACTCTTAATCACTTTTTTAATCACTATTTTGTAGTTAAATAGTGATTAACTCTCAAATAGGCTCTTCTTATTGGATGTCATTTCCACTTAACTATGATTAACTTTAATCACTTTTTTTTACAACCGGCCCCAGGTCCGGTTGTTCAAAAGCCGGTTAGCTTAATCCTAGGTTAATGAAATACTTGGAGGCAATCTTCCCAACAGTTTGTTTATGAAAATGGCGATGTTTTCCACAGTTTTGTTTGATCAATGCAACTTTTATTTTTTGTTATGTTATGAAATAGAAAGACGTGCAGGAATACATAAGTAACTCAGCAGGTTAAATTTTAACCGTGGGTTAGCGCTGATCCAGCTTTGACCAAAAGGGCCCAGTTTATTTACATTGCAGCCACACACGTGGTCTTAGTGTTTCTGGAGGTAAGAGCCAGCGCGCTTATCACTCTTGCCTTTGTTTAGGGTGAGAGACCAAGACGATCAAAAGATGATAGAAAACAAAGAGAATCAAAAGAGGACCGACCAGAAAAACGTCATTCAAGAGACAAGGGTGAAGAAGATAGAGAAAGGGTTAGTTTATGAATTTAATAACATGATTTGCATGATTGACGTCTTGACCAGGATCGATCTAGTCCCAAGACAGGCCAACCGTGTAGTATAACTTACTCGATTCTTCTGAGCCCAATTTGGCAAAAGATTAAGACTTAATATTGGGCGAGACCGAAGGACGACCTCAATATTGATGTCGAGACAGATGAATCTGATAGATATTTTATTATTAATAACCTGTATTTTAAAAACATGTGAATGGAAAACTCGATTCCATGCATGAAGTATGTTTTAAAGGTGATTTGACCTAATTTTAACGAAAAAATTATATATTGCTAACCTCATGACTGTTGTAAAACATAAATTTCGCGAATACAAAATAATGTTTTATAATTTTAAACAAAACTGGTAGAAAAAAACGGCCGTAACGTTCCAAATCCTTTTCATTATTACTCTGTCAGATCGTTTGTTGTGTGTTTGAAATTGCCAAACATCTGAAAAGGTTTGATAAACCAGGAAAAAGGCCTACATCATAAAATGTCGGACAGGCACGTGACCCTATTGAAGACTTGTGATTGGTCAATTGCACGTGAGCGTATAATAATTTATCGTGCGATAACCCAGCGATACAACGTCACATGTAATCTATTTTCGATACAGACTTTGAGAAAATTTAAAGGTTGAGTGCAGTCCGTTATGTAAACAAAGCCTTTGTTTACATCTCGGTATTCAAAATATTGAACTTTATTCGACAGCTATTTATATTTTCATGCTTCTACAGTATAATAAATGATCAAGATACAACATTCAGGCTTTGCAAGAACATAAAATGAAATAAAAACCTAATTAAAGCGTTTATATCACGGCAGGAGACTCCTATGTGCGCATGCGCAGACCGGACTGTACCCTATCTTTAAATACAGTACAAAAAATTACTTTTGAGATAAGTTGAGGAATTGAACAATTTTAATGAACTTGAGTTGTATTGTAGGATCGAAGACGCCACAAGTCGGAGAGACATCGAGAAGAAGGTTTACTAGATGGCGAAGAAGGTCATAGTAGACGAAGTAAAGATAATCAAGAGAGAAAACATAAAGATAGAAAAAAAGAGAGAGTGAAAGATGACGAGAGAGATAGCGGCAGTAGTGATAGAAAGAAAGAAAGGAGGCGAAAAGAAAGGAATGAAGAGGACGAACATGAAGATGACAGAAGAAGACATCGGGATAAAGAAGATGGTTCAAGAAGTAAAGAGAAAAGTAGAAGAAACAGAGAAGATCCAGACGAGTCGAGTCGTGAGAGGAGAGATCGTGATGAAAGAAAGAGGGAGAAAGAAAGAAACGGGGAGGAAGAAAACGGAGATGATAGAAGAAGACATAAAGAAGAACGAAGTAAAGAGAAGAGTAGAAAGCACAGAGAAGATGAAATGGAGTCAAGTCGCGGAAGGAAAGATCGTGATGAAAGAAAGAAAGATAACGAGAGAAGAAAGGAGAGTGATAGAAGGAAAGATGATGAGGAAGATCATGAGGCTGAAAGACAAAGAAGGAAAGATGAAAGAAGACGTGAAAGAGATGAAGGAAGCAGAGATAAAGAAAAAAGAGAAAGGCGACGAGATAGAGAAACAGATGAACGCTATAAAGATGGCAGAAGAGAGAAGGATGAACATCGCAAGGAAGGACTTGAGAAGGATAGAAAGAAAGAGGGAAAAAGACATGATGGAGCTGAAGATGACGAGCAAGAAGGAAGAAGAAAGAAACATGAAAGACGGGAAGCAAGAGAAGACAATGATGGTGAAAGTGATGATAAAGACAGGAGAAGAAAAGATAAGAAAAGATCAGAGGATGATATCCAGGACGGACAAAGACGACGAGAAGATGGGCAACGAAGGAAGAAGAAAGGACATGACCAGGTATACAATACAGCTCGATTTTGATTCCATTTTAAGCTCCATTCAAACGAGTTCGCGATGTTGGACAATGTTGAATGAAAATTTTAAACAGTGCCAAACCCATTCCAACATCTTCTAACATCACCCAACATTGTGTTCAAACGAGGCCAACAATGAGGGTCCACAGTAATTGGCTTTGCCGTTGTTGTTGCCCGGTTCCTGTATTGTTTATGTCAGTGTCCATGTCTTTAATAAAATAAAATGTTGCATCCAACATTAGACAGATTTAGATCGAGGACGCGAACGTCAAAGACGACGTGAAAATGGCGTGTTGTGCCCATGTATGGATATGCCACGCCATTTTGACGTCATTTTCACGTCGTCTTTGACGTCCGCGTCCTCGATCTAAATCTGTCTATTGTTGGATGATGTTGGACCACCATGTTGGCCTCGTTTGAACGGGCGTGTAAAAGCGATCTTGAACAGTCTATGCCAGTGTGGGTGTAGCGACAATAACAACAAGATTTCATTGTTATGGATGCAACTACCTGAAAAATGCAAAGCGAAATTCGACTTTTCGAGCGAAAGTCCTTCGCTGGGCACTTAGTGGCGAAACGTCGAATTTCGCTTAAAATATTTCAGGTAGTTGCATCTCTACCAACGAAAGACTGTAAAAAAATAATTGACGTATATTAGCTTGGTAGAATAGATTGACGCTATCATTAATATTTATTTATTTTTTGTTCAATTTTAGGAGGATGGTGAAAATGAAAGGTATTAGTCAGAAATTTTCTGAACATTTTATTTTACTTGTCCGTGGTTTTTATACTCAAGCAAGAAAATTAATTTAACATCAGTATTTCTTATTGAAACAATGCAAACTGGTACGTTTTTATTCACTAATAAATTGAATTCAGTTTGCTCTTTATTATATATTAAGTACGAATCTTTTCCACTGAATCACTGTTCAACACACTTAGTACATAACTTAGTTATTACTTTTATATTTTTAAAGACAACGTAAGGAAAGAAAGGATTCAGCACGAGAAGTCGAAAAGAAAGAGTCTGTAAGAAAGGTATGGAAGTGCATCCTGTGAAACACAATGTAGCATGTGGACGCAACATACTAACTATGCCTTGTTTTCTGACGTGAAACTAAAGCTCTTGTTTTGAAATATTAATGCAACTGAGTGTGCTATTCGTGCTCTGCTTCAAACATAAACTCGAACAAGGCAAATGCCTGGACATGTTAACTTGTGCTACTATTATCTAGAGCAATGGTAGATCTCTTTCAATCAGTAACGCAGCCGAGGTCGTTGACGAAATCCAAAATGAAGATGATTATGGGGATTATGAGGATGATTTTGAGGTCAGTTTGCACTTGCAACTGAAGAGAATCATTTCAGAGCTAGAAATAAAGACTCGAGTCTAGTGCTAGAAATAAAGTTTTGAAATACATTTTTATATTAAATATATTGTCTTGTGTACTTCATGTTAGGATTATGAAGATGACTTTGAAGATGAAGATGATGTTGATGAAGAAGATAATGGGCACGGACAGGTCAGTATATGCACAACCTCGTACCCACGGCTTCTGCGCTTGTGGCGTTTCAGAATGGATAGTTAATAAAATGGATATAGGAAACAGCTGACGCCAGCAGACGTACAACAATATTATAATACAGTAGTAACGTTTCGCATTCAAGTAGCTATATTGAGATTCAAAATAATTTCATTGTCTTTTAACCCTGCCAGTGTCACGCAACCATATTAACTAAGATATTCCATTGTAGAGTGGCCTGACTGTATTCTTACGGTTGTTGACTAAAATATGCTGCTGTACTATTGCTAAATGTGGAATTATTTTGGATTTAGTGACGTTATAATTTTCAACAAGGTTGAGACGCCATCAGCACGCTGAAAACATCATGCGTGATTACGAGTTTCCTATATCCACTGTTTTTAAGCAGAAGGGTTTTTGTAGATGGAAATGTCGAGTGTGAATTTTGCACATTTATTAGACCTGACCAGGAGTAGTTGCAAAAAATGCAACTACAGTATTATCGAGTGTAGATGCCCAAATCCTGATATTTAATTACCCCTGCTGTTTTAAGCCTAGTAGAGAATTTGGAGTTAAATTTGGTTCGATCAATAGACAACTTGCATGTTAGACTAATTTTTTATCTAGGCAAAAAAAAGTAAATTCCCGTAAAGAACAAATTAGTAAAATTGCAAAATTTAAATTGCAAAATAGCCTTCCGAAGTTTGTATATGTTTGTATTACGTGCGGAAATTGTTACCATTTTCGGCTCAAAAATGGTAACAATTTCCGCACATAATTGACAAACATATACAAAATTTGCAAACTTTGCAAGACTATATTTTCCAAGCTTTACAACATTTCGCAACCAAGTTTTGCAAGTTTACTAATTTCATTATGTTCTTTTTAGCTGTGGTGTTTGATTCCCTTCTCTTTACTTAGATTAAAATTTAGTCTAACA